CATCACTGAGTTAAATAAGCAGGGCCCTCGTTCATACGCAGCTAAACTTGAAAGTACGCAGGGCCATATCTGACCCAAATGAAATCCAGTTTCACTTACCCCAATGATTCTCACTACTGTCATATTAAAGGAAGTGTCAAGCACTAAATTTGTTACAACATATAAATCTTTGTTCATTTTTTCACTTTGTTTGATAGTATGTACGTATCGCTATGGTAATCGTGATGAGAGGAACCAGCAGATCTAGGCGAGATACTCAAAGATTGACATAGAAAAACAGTACATTAGCATTAAATTATGCTGTAGTATGATGACTAAAATAATATATACTTAAAACTACCCTTAAATGCTAACTATTGATTTTCCAACTCAAATCTCAGGCTAACTTAAGTGTATGATTAGCAACTGCATTTCGCTGTCAGGTTTACAATGTGATCTATCGGCCATGGAAACAAGTGGAGGTAGGTTAGCGTAAAAATTTACTTTCAGTGATACCATTTTCTTAGTTTGCGCGACGAAATTGTTCAGCTGACAAGCATTGTAAGCATTAGCTCCGTTTTGTGAAGGTCCGTACTTCCCTATCCAAAATTAGTCAAAGCTGTCATAAAACAAAGTTTACTTGTTTACATGGTGATTAAATTTTGCCTTAACATTTCACACAAAACAACTGGATTTTGCAACAGAACTTCTAACCGCAGTTTATGCAAAGGTTTGATTTTCACTAAAAATAAGTTCTGATCGCCTGCTGGGATTTTATCGGAGCTGCCATCAAATAATCTTAAACAAATATTATTTAGGTCCCTGAGACTGCTCTTTGTTAAGCGCATAATCAATTCTGAGGATAGTTTAAAATATTCTATGTTAACCTATCGAGTTATCTTGGTGCATTTCGCTGCAAATAAAACAAATAAAGCACAATCAAACAGTTTAAGCTGAAGCATGAGGTCATTGTGCCCATGTTGTTAACATTTGCATTATGTTGATAGTTAATGCAAATTAACAAAAATAATGTGACAAATCGTCGGGTAAATCTGATTAAAAAGCGGAACACCACCATTAGTATTTAGTGTTATCAGATTGCTGTCAAATATTCAAGCCATGACATAGGTGAGTATCAGCACTTTTCTAGGATGTATTAAATTGAGGAAGCGAAGTATGGTGGAAAAAAACATAGCCAGCATGGTGCCGAATAAAACGATAGCTGTCAATTGATAACAACCACTGACATTGATGTAAAGCTAAGGGTTTTGGGGTGGTAGTAATTTTCGAACGGGAGCAATGTAGGGTACCGTCGCAACTTTAATTATTCATCGAGTGATGCGCTGTGGTGCCAAATACGCTTATCAGTTTCAATCATCCGTGTAGCTAGAAAAGTTGCATTAATGAACTTGGCAAAAGAGTCTTTTGTGCGTCGTTGTGTATACGCATCAACCAAGACTAAATTAATGGACCGTTTTTTACAATACGCTCGAAATTGCGCTGCCAACGCAAATTTAATTGCGGATAATCTGAATTTCTTTCTTTAATAAACCGCGAAAATTGCTGTACATTTGTACATCTTATGGTTATGCTGGTGAGGGCCAAGAAGACATCATGTAGAAAACAACCCCCTCTAATCCTGAAACAGACCACTCAAAATGAGCTTCACTGATAAACAAGCTTGTAAAGTTGCATGATACAGGGGCTCGTAATTATGAGGTAGACAGCAATATTGGTGGGGGCTGTCCGTGGAGCTCAAAGTTCAGCAGCTGTTAAGTGGCTATCGAAAATGGAATCTGAAATAGTGGTCCTTAGGTAGCATTTATTCCAAAAGCGCCATATAGCCACAGTTCTGCCAATCGATGTACATGCCAAGCAGTGAAGCCGATCATCCTTTCTTTTTAACCAGAATAAGGAATACGATGCAACCGATTCACAATACTTCAATTCGGGCAATTCTGACCAGGCATAAAAATTTTATTCGTTAGTTTACATAGATTCAGACTGGTAGGGACAATTTTCAAACCGCAACATAACTACTGTGACTAACGTATAAAAAAGAAGCGGAGATAGATTAACAGTACAAAAGCCTTAAACGTACTATCTAGATTAGTTCTGAAATAAGATCAATATGAACTGGAATCCTCCAGTCGCTCTAATTTCCATTAATTTGGCATGTATTTTACCCTACATTTTGACTATTCAGCACTTTGAACTACACATCGAAAAGACGAAAATATCACATATGTACATTTCTTATCTACTGGCCTTTTTCAATAGAGAAGCAAAAAGTATTTTACGTAAATTTTAACGTGTACCACGAAAGTAATCAAATACGGGAGCAGATACAAAGCGGTAAATACGCACAATTATTATTGACGTGACCACGGTGAACCAAGCACCCACGCATGTGGGCATATATAGATCATGTTTTCGACCTACCACGCAGTATAATGAGATTCCTGCCTTCCACATTCGTGTGTCTTTTCATCCCAACTTTTGGAAGGTTGAGTACCGGTTTTACCCTGTATCCTTGATTCGGTTAAGCGCATCCTTACCAGCCTGGAGTTGTGCAAAGTACCTTGATTTTCTTGCTCGTGGTTGCGTTACTCTGCTTGGGGTTGCTCCTGGATGAACTGGCAATGTTGGTTTTGTCTTATTTATTGGCCTACCGATAAATACCCTCCCTATTATAGTTGGCTTGTGCCCATTACCGTTTGTCGCTTGTAATCCGCTCTCCGCTCAAGCCGTGGTATTTCCGTTGCGCCGTCTCTCTTAATCCATGATGCATATGCTTGTTTCTTCTTTGCTCGTTCTAGTAGGTTTCCAGCCTTCCGTCTTATCGCTACCTTCCGCGCTACCAAAGTAAATCTAGAGTAACCGAAAATCCACAACTAATTGTTTTCACACACACATTACATGTCTTCCTCGGCTTATCGCCACCGCCCCGAAAAACCTCAAAGTAGAGGAATTAGAGTGATGTACTAAAATCCAAAACGTGGAGCTGCCGTCAATCCGACGTCAGTCACCAAAACAGACTGGCTTCTTGACAACGCCGTCGGCTTGCATGCACACGGAATCTTGGGCTTCGGTTGGTTGTCCGCATTTCGGTTGAGCTCTCGATGAACCCAGTCGGACAGGTGCTCTTTCACCCTGTAATTCAAAACCCAGTCGCTTCTGTCTATGTAACCAAATTTACTGTCACAATCAAACTGGTAAGCACAATGTGGTATGGCGCTGATACCACACTTTTCCTTTAATGAAAATAGCAACAGCTTCCAGCTTCTATTCATCTGTACAACATCCGCGTTGCAGTAGGTTTTCTGAATGATAGAGTTTGCGCACTTGCTCGTCTCATTTGTTGCGAGTTTACGCTTAAATGGTAGATCGAGGTATGCTTTCTTCTTGGGTGCTATCAACACCATCTTTTTCCAAGCCCTGAATTGGCTACGCGACTCAATGACGCGTCTTTGGTTAACCTTTACCGTGAGTGTTCTGGAAATAGACTCCAATTCCTAAGCCAATTAATGTCTTCAGTAAATACGCCCGACATGAGTAGGCATATTTTCACCAGTAAAGGTTTTTGGTCTTCATTTTTGAAATAGGTTAAGTTTATTTATTGGACAGACCATGCTAGCTTCCCGTATATTGACAGCCTAACAAGCCTGGTATCCGTTCGTATGAAGAGAATGTCTAGGAGCGGCGGGAAATCATTCTTCTCAGGCTCACTGAAAACTTTAATTTGACATTGGCGCTGATAATCTGATGTACTATTGCAGTCATAAATATTCTTCATGAATGGTTCGTACCATCTGAAAGATACTGCTTCCAATGCATGGTAATAATTAATGCATTTGTTTTCAGCAAATCCAAAGAAGATAATTATAGTGAGCAAGCTATGGGCATACTCGGTCAATACGAACACCTCTGTTCAACCCGTACATCAAATGGGTGGTATACACTAAGGAATAAACTGCATAACTTATTGCTTTGTTGGCGACAAGAGGCTCGTCAGTGCGCCTCAAGCTAACGCGGTAGATTAAGTGTCACGATTCAGGAAGCAAAATCAGAGTTGTGGTGAAGAAGAGCGTGAATCAAAAATGAGACATAAAGTGACAATCAAATGCATTTGGTGAGCACCGACTGAAATTCAACCCCATGAGTCATTCACTGTCCTATTGCGGAGTCAGAAACCTGAATCCTCAGGCTGCTTGGAGCAATCTTTAATAATCTAGAACGACCACAGGGCTACACACAGATATAACCGATTAACACTATGTTAACCGTGCCAGTGGGGGACTAAATGATACATCTCTGGATCTTCACTCACCAAATCCTATGGATAATTTTGACTATGCAACCTTAGTCAAATACATGCGATTAACGTACACGCATAAAATGATCAAGTATTATTGCAACGTTCTTCTCCTAAGTAACCGATCTAAAAGTGTTAATTTGATTAGATGTCTTATCTTTTAGTAAATACCTTTTTAAAATCTCCAAATCAAGACCAAATCAATGAGCATTGTAGACGCAGAATGCACTGACTTTTGCTAATGTTCCACTACACATGATAGTTTTGCACTAACTTCTCTAAATTTTCATCACTCATGAATACGCCTAACACAATTTTACATATCCTATGGTTGATATAATCGATCATCCGCCTTTACATTGCACTCAAAACATTAGTTATGTGTAGCTTCTTACAAATTTGTTAATTTCACCTGTCCGCTTAAATCATAGCTAATAAAATAAAGAGAAGCTATTTCAAGTTCCTTGCCGCTAAGCACAACGTACATGCGTCAATTTCTGCTACTACATAAAATATAGTTGCTCAAATTATTTAACGAATTTAAGTGTATTCCATGTGAGGCTTTAATTATTGTCTACTAAAAATCAGTTTATTTCACGTGCACCCCCTATGTGTCGTATTGCCTATATCGTTTAGTATTGTATCGCGTTTTTACATAAAAGTACATAACCATATCTTTCGTTCAAAATAAACACATACCACTCACTCTTTTGTTCATAATCCCTAAATCCTTGTCCCCTTCGCACTATGCACACAGAAATCACAGTGCCGATAACGATTACGGAGAAGAAGATGGAAAGTGTAATGATTATGATCTCCGCTGCTGACAGGTATTCTGACTGACGTTCGCGTTTCTGCACACCTTGAGACATCAGTTCTGCTCCTTTTAACATTTGCTTTCCCACTGTTGCTCCGTCTAACAGGAATGAAGCATCGTGGGACATATCCATTGTTCGAGAGCTTGGCGTCCGCGTCTGCAGTGGATTTAAAAAACCTCTCACCTAGTAGTGCTATATTAAAATCTTTTGAATAACATGAATATCCAAAGCCACCGTAATAGTTCATTTCACAATCATAATTTCTATATAGTTCTGTATACATCCTATAACTTCTTCCACCTAAGTTTTGTACTGCAGTTATGGTCAATTTAAACACTGAAATAGCGATACTCTTGTCAAAAATGAAGGTTTATTCTGTCGTAACGGCTAACCACAATTCTAAAGCCAGTTTCATATACACATGAGCAAATAAACGGTAAAGTAAAAACCACATAGACTACGTCCCATTAACTCGCGTGTCTGTATTAAACATAGCCTTAGTATTTTAATGGTTTGGACTGCAAACTAATTATATTCATAATAACAAAGTAAATTCTAGAGACTGCCAAAGTGGTCTTTTAAGATGTGTAAGTGAGAAAGGGAATTGGCAACTGCAAGCATCAAGTGGTTTGTTATGCCTAAAATTAGAACAAGACTTCGAAATTATTAGGCAGCATGGCTGTTTGTAATCGTCATGAATCATAAATCAATTGTCTAGGGTCCATGACTGGAAAATAATGAAGCATTCCAGCCCATGAATTGTTGACTTGAGTATAAAATGGTAATCGTTCACAACAATTGAGCTAGGTAACGTGGCCCCTATCTCTCAAAAGCTTCATATTATCCCATCCTTATTAAAACTTCCTCATGAGATATGCATGCAGTTTTCATCAAATCACGAAATGTTTTGCTCACATCAGCATCTGTAGTGCTTATACATTACATGAACTTGGGCGTGTGTCATATACGTAGGCAGTGTAAAGTAGCAAACTAAATTAATGCTTGAGTAGGCAGAATAATCTCTTTCTTTCTTGTGGTTCGGAACCAGGTTTTTATATATATTTATTACACCAACGATGGGACGAAAATTGCGGTCTGCGGTGTGACTTTTGTTTGCAACCGTTAAATTTCTGTGAACGCATTTTTTACTTGGGCATGATGCTTCGACCAGCAGTAGATGTGAAAATGTTCCGAATGATGTTTTACTGAAAGACAAGCAATTCGCTACAGGCCTATGCGTCAAATACCAAACAAGAGATACCTAATTTCGAATCGAGTAAACTGGTGCTTGTTTACCGGGGATTACATGGAAGGGTGCTGGAAGCAACCAAATAACATTTATCTTTCACTTCCAGACGAAAACTTTCGTCATTCCAAGCTGATAATAAAAATGATATCATTTCATGAAGTAGCTAAAGATGCCCTAACTTATTAGAGGCCAGACTGGCTGTTGTCAGTAGTCTCGTTTACATGTTGCACAGAAAAGCACTGCATATGTCCATTAAATTACGCTTTGACACTTTTATAAATAGTGTCAAAATCAAGCAACAATTCACTGAAGCTAAGACATGACACGTCGAAATACTGCTAATGGGAGTTTAGTGTTATATTGACTTGTGCGCCCAGTTTGGCTCCATCCATTATACACGTCAGCTAGAGGCTGGAAACACCTCAGTTAACTTGTCGCAATCCATAAAGAAAAAGGAAAATAAATACAACAGTTGCATGCCAGCTGAGCTACCAGCAACGGATAGGCATCGTTCCGGTAAGCTACCAGCCGGCTATTAGGCAAAAAGAAAAAGTATTATGTTTTATGCTACGATGTGAGATCGTAGATGGAGGAGGGAGGCTAAAAGGGATGGGGTGGGACAAAGAAACTAACAGCAGGAACGCCACTGAGGTCGGCTCCTAGCGATATCAGCAAGTGTGTCCAACCAAACGTGTTCATCGTCTTTCGGACCCCAAACAGGGAGCCGTGACGCTCCAACTGATGCCAGCTCCGACGTGAGGGCGTTCATTCACTTGGACCAAGTCATCGCTTGGCCACCCTTCCTCTTCTTCCACCCACATCCCCGGTGAGCAAACAACGCACGTCGAGGGAGTCGATGGGCTGGCATGCGCAACACGTGGCTCAGCCGTCGGAGCCTGGTGCGTGAAATGACGGTACTGAGCGGTTTAGATCCTTTTCCTGTGCCGTAAACAAGGCGTCGAACACGCTCGTTACTTACGCGGCGTTCCCTGCAGATGTGAGCCAAACTGTGAAGGCACCAATATTCCACCGTAACTAGCCTCTTTATGTCCGCCGATCTTACGGGTCAAGTTGCGAAACCGTACAGTAGGGTAGAACGTACCGCTGTATTGTACACTCTACCCTTCAGGGTGATAGTTATGTCGCGCCGACGCTATAAGTGGCGAAAGTTAGCAAAAGCACTTCAAGCTTTTACTATACGGTTCGTGATCTCCCAGTTTGGCTACTTGTCTGCAGACATCTTATCACAAATCGAAGCTGGATCCTCATTGCGGAATAAGATAGGTAGCTTTGCTGGCAGACTAGGAAGTTCCATATAATCTACAGTTTGTTTTCAGGCATGTTCCTTCACCGGTACAGCTAAACTGTATCCATGACTCTATTCACTTTACGAGTTACTCTATGCTTTATGCATAACAGTAAACTCATCACATCTACTACGCCATGAAGAGGTCAGCTCGATAGGTGATGTTTCAAGATAACTTTTAGGATACTTACAGTCAACATACGAGGCAAATATGTAATGGATGATGATCAGGCACCACTCTGTACGCACAAATTTCCTTAGCAAGGCAAGAGAAAAGGAGTATTACAACAACTGAATTACTTTGCAATTGCAATATTGACCAACGTTCATTTTCGTAATGAATAGAATTGGATATTTACACATAAACCTGTATTTCCTTTAATCCAACTTTCCCATACCAACGACTCTTGACAACCTATCCATTCATTGATTCGCGAAAGATAGACCAACAAAATGTTTAGGACAACATTATACTCAGTTCAATGGCGTCTGCCGACTAACATTTAGAATTAAGCTATTCCAGTCATAGACATAAATGATTCATACTTGGTTCAAGAAAAATAATGCTGATATCTTATAGCCTACACACCAGTTAGACAGCAACGAGGTCAATCGCAAAGGACAATTCCCACCTTTCAAACACCAGCTGAGTCATCACTGTCAACAGCTACTCTATAGACGCTTATAACCACTTGATAACATGAATAACCAGGCGTTACGATCCTCTAATTTTGATAAGAAACTTGGCTACTTAGCCTTTAATTGGTACGCAAGCAGCTGTGTAAACTGTAACAAGATATTTCTTAAAAATTTGAAGTTTAAGGCTTTCACTTTAGCCCATTCCCTATTCCATGTTGCGTTAAATATTTTCGGATGAAAAGAATGATAATGTATCGCAAACTTAAAAATTGACAATAGTTTAAATTTGTCTGCCATTGGCAGTTTGATGGTGTGACAGTTAATGAAATTTCGCATTCTCGTTTAAGTTGTGGCAGTGATTAACAAAGTTTGACAAGCGCTGCTGCAAACATAGGGTCACTAAAATGCAAATTCCCAAACCTTTAACATTAGGCGTGTGTTCATGGAAAGCAGCTAATTAATAGTTGCTGTATATGTAAAACAAAGGTGAGAGCATCATACAAAGGGAACACATATCCATTGAAATTAGGATTACTTCAAGTGCTCAGCTGCTATACTAAACCATAAATTCATAGTCCAATGAAGATAAAGTGTATCTGCGGAAACCGATGGTGCTTCGGTGACGCCATTTTGTCGGTAAGTGAATAAAGCACAAGCAACCTCGCTGTGCATTGACAAAGCCGTTTCCTTGCGGGAAAAACGCTTGAATGCAGGCCAACGATCCGCAAGTTAATTCTTGTCGAGTGAATTCACATCTTCTTTTAGCTCAATAGAATTAACGCTAGCGAATTTTGTATGCCTTAACTCGTTATATGATCTCTTTGTTTATTAAAAACACAATAAAATCGTAGTTGACCACCTGTATTTCCTGTCAAACTAAGTTTATCGTTTTTAAACCTTGAACTTTTACCATACAAATCCTATTGAACTATACCCCTGTATTTTGACCTTCGCTTTAAATTTATGTCGACCAATTAGGTCACAACAGAATAGTAACCTCTTGACTGTGTGAAAGTTTATTGAGCAATGTAAGCTTTGGGAAGTTCTCTTAAATATTAGAGCCCCAAAAATTCTCTCTCGATGTCATGCTTCCTTTTGTCCTGCCCCTCGTTATTTATCTGCATGCGTGTTTGCTTCATGCAGTGTGTTCCCACAAATCTGAGTCCACGAATTTTCCTTGAGTGTTTTGTGTATCAACTTTCTTCACTGACTCAACGCACTTACCCTTTCGTCGAGGTGCTCGCTCACCGCACGGAGCAGCAGCACTATTTTCAGTGCCTGTTTAACCATCGTTTAACCAATGCTGAACTAAGCTGTTACGTTAGGTTTGTGACAAGAGAAAGAAGAAACCAAAGATCCAGCTTTAATTGTGATGCAACCATACTGTTGTGCTTTATGATAAACTATATGATTTAACTGCTTTGCATTCATGTCAGACCTCATCTAAACTAAAAGAACAGGGTCTATATAAACAAAGTTTATAATAAACTGATTATAAGACTAGAGTAAGACACTCTGTTTTATACAGGACCTCCGTAGTTTGACCGCATCTACATCGATCACATTGATCCAGTAAATTCAATGGTCAACATATAAATGTTTTAACATGGGGTTTGAGTGTTCGCTAAGCTTGGCAGTTTGGCCGCAAACATAACGTGGCAATTCGATGAGACATTGTCATTGCGACTTTATGTACTGATGCGAAGCGTGTGAGTGTAAACGAGCAATCTTTTACCCGGCGGCGCATCAGTCTTAGTTCGGATTGTTCGAAAGGCACGTGATCATCGAAATTGATCTATTTGGTTCGGACATCGTAGCGTAAGCATGTGTGCATCTGCTGTTGTCGCCGTCTTTTTACGTATTTATCTGACGCTCTTTTCCGTTAGATTTAGTAAACCACTTCAATTATATTTCATCCTTAGTGCTGCATATATACTACTTAGTTCAGTGCATCGGTTGAGGAAATTGCCTGTAGAAAACTATGTTTCCAGGAATTCTCAAGCTTTATTCGAATTTTCATGGGCTCGGACCTTTAGGCTTCCTAGGTCGAAGTAGTGACTTTCTTGCTCTTCATGCACTGAAACCAATGCATGTGGGTCATGTCTCCATATGGCTATTTTGTGTTCATTGATCAGTAAATAACGGCACACTGACAATGACGAAACTTTTGCTGCCAAACGGCTGAGCTTGCCGGGCACTCAGACCACCAACTGATTAACTCAAAATCCTAAGATTTTGTTCTATACCACAGATGTTTTACTGTATCTAGGAATGTGGTATTCCACTAGTTGGATCTCAACGATTCGAGTAGCTATACGCGGCTCCTCTTATTCGCTTTCTTCTTAAGGAAAACTGAAGAGTAAACGGATATTTCAATCTTGTGAGCTCGTAGCCATAACATTTCTCTCTTGACTTACTTCACTGAATCTAACAACATAAGTGGAGGTTTTCTTGTTGACTCATACTATTTGAACCATCGGAAGATTATGTATCTAAACTAATATTCAATGCAACAACGAAGCACTGGTTTATAGTGTGTATAAAAGTAAAAAATTGACAAGCCGTGTAAGATGGTCAGGGTAAATATTAAATGATAAAGACGCGGTGACGATAAAAGGTGCATGGCACATGACTCAATAAAAGATTAGGTGTCGCGCATAAGTGATTATTTTTAACTATAGTTTGAAGGGACTTTGATACCATCCTCTGTTCGTTTTGCACTAACGCCATCATACTCTAACAATGGGCTATATCACGTAGAGTATATCGTCAATCCGTTTATTTGAATAGTGAAAATGTAGGGCCCTTAATAATGTGCCCTGGGAAGGAATTCTAGGATTTGGCTTGGCGCTGATGGCCCTTCGTAGGGAAGCTGGTTGATTGCCTGACAGTATCTGCTGAAGCACTGGCGACCGCATGTGGTACAGCACGTGGAAAGTCAATATCAAGCAACAATACAGTTTTATAACGACGAAGTTGGCCATCCTAAGTGTCACGTATGATACCGAACAACATTTCACAGGACTCTAATTAATGACATTTTATTCCAGAGTTTCGGGTTTGTTTAGTACAAGCAGCCGTACAAAATCAACAACACTAAGGTACGTCATTTGGATATTTTTAAGTCGAGGTGTAATTTAAAAATACTTTAACGATAAGTGTGAATCAAGATTTTTCTTCATTTACTTTTCAATGACTGTAACAATTTCCGGCAGTCGTTTTTAATAGCTAGTACCAAGTGCTAACTCTGTCTGTATTTGACCCAACTACTAACCTAATATAATCCCTAATATTGCTTTTTGCTAGTTTCGCATTGTTGCTTCGTACATTAACATGTAACCGCCTGACGCCTAATTGGAAGTGGCGGCAAACCATGGACTGAATTTGAAAGTGAAAGTATTTCAAGCTGCACAATTCGCCAGTTTCACACGAGTTTCCAGTAAAATGTATAGTTTATACAGGTCATCTAATACAATGGAAAATATAAAGAAGGTGAGATCGCTTGCAGATATGTTAAACTGTCATAATATGGCAGCAAAAGTTTAGTTGTCTTCTTTGTAACCACGTGTTAATTCACGATGTTGCCTAAAGAAACACGGGCCTGGCTTGTAAGCCGAGGGCGTGGGTTGGAGCCTGCGTAGGGACCGGACGACCCGCGCAGTCTCTTTAGCCCAAATGCGACTGCTGGTCGTTGCACTGACGCGATGCGTCTGTAATGCCTACCGGCTTACTCTAAGTGCCTGTACCTGTTCTTGTAAATTTAGTAAACAGCCTGATCTCTTTTGGAGTTTCTGAAGTTCAATCATCAAATTTTTTGTCACCAGCGAAGTTATTTCTCTCTCCAAACGTCAGCTATCATTTTGAGGTGGCCTACAAAGTTCTCATACATCCTGCCCATGCACATCAACCCACTGTCAGGGCTTAATCACATATCCTTGACCAACATGGTTGTATGGATGCTCCTCATGTCCTTGAGTGAGGACAGCTCACATATCAGTTAAAAGTGGTTATCAAGTGTTTTAGTGAAAATTTAGCAATACTCTTTCAACGACCTTGTAACAAGGTGCAGGTTTCCATGGGGCGGAGACACGGAAACATTCCTCTGATATGCACGAGTGGCTACCGTTAAAAACCAGCGCAATTTCCGCTATTTCCGGCGGTCTCCAAGAATATGGAGTCTACTCTCGCTGATGTGCACATGGAATACAGAGGAAGTAACAAAATTCTCACTCCAGGGCAGCATGGATTTGGCCAAAATCAGTCCTGTACTGCGGATCTGTTGATAGTTATTGCGTGCTGCACGGAACCTGTGGATACTGGTACTGGGGTAGATGCAGCCTATCCGGAATTCGCTAAGGCATTGGACCACCTGGATCATCTCATTCTACTTCACAAGCTCCTATATTATGGCTTGTTTTACCGGATCATCTCAGCTGCACACAAGTTAGGTTTATTTATCCCAAGCTTGAAAACCACCATACAATCGTTTCGTCCTATTAAGGCTGGCCATTTGTGTAAAATCTCTCGGTATTCTGGTGGGAACTGAATGCATACCCGCGAGTAGATTACACCAACTAGCTATCAAGTAATGCCGCTGAGCCATGGAAGATTGAGGCAGACAATCTGGGCTTCCAATCTAACTGGGACATAGCGCAACACATCCTCCATCGCCATTACTGATTCTGGAAGTAGCAATACGGTTTTTGGCAGAATAGGCGACGTGTTGCTTTCACTTAATACGGAGACAAAGGTTCGAATTGCACCATCAGAACCAACCGATTTCTAGGGTTGCATACCGTAAGGTTCGGTACTCGTATCCTGCGTATTTATGGTATTTATAAATGCTCTCAACAAATTCTGTACTATGCGCCGAAGATCTAAATGTACTGAGTGATATAAATACGGTTGAGGATCACACAGCACTGTACGATAATTTGAGTGAAGCATACATATGGTCCATCGAAAACTGCTCTTTTCAACGGCCGAATGCAAATTTCTGGGCACACCCATTCATATTCCTTACAGTTGCAGGCTAGGGCCCCAAATTCTGCAGCGAGCTTCTCATGAGTGCGGGATATGTAGCGTGGTCAGGAAACTGTCATGGGTCAGGAAGAAAAGCAATAGTCATACGAAATAGCAAGAAACAAATCAATTCTGTGTCTACAAGCGGTTCGCTTGTTTGATCCAAAAGTACTCCAAGACCGTGTGCTTAAAGCAAGCAGTTGTTTTGGTGGTGTTCATCTTCAGGCTTACGACTCATATGTGTGCTGAGAAAATATACATTTCACGGATCAAAGCGTGTCCGTTGATTAGACAAAATCAAACAATCAGGGCACGTGTCGTGATTAAGTAATTGAATCATGGTGGCACTTGCTAGGTCTACTTACAACAGACATTCCTGCCATTTGGAATTGTACTTTTCATCGCATGGTACCGCCTAATTACCGCATCATGTGATATAGACCGCGTGACCCACATGCAGGCTACAAATAAAAACTGACCTCTACTCACGAGCACGGCGCACATTTTTAAGGCCACTTCTATTCTCGTGCTGTAGACAACACTTATTACGGAATTCTTAAAAAGCAACCTCTTTTTTGCTAAGAAACGCGTGTTAATTTATGTAGCACAAAATGGATCCGAATCAAACAATAAAAAACCTGAATGAATCTAAGCTATTTTAACCTAACTAGATAATATTTCAAATTTTATCAAGTCGAATATTGGTAGTTGATATCAAGCACAAGATCCAATAATTAACATCACAGAAAATGATCGTTAAAACTATTGTTTCCGTCATTAATTGAGAACATTTCATCCGGTAGTAAATCTAAACAAGTTAAATTTGGTTTGGCCTCCAAACTGATTGCAGTAAGCAGCAATCAGTGGGTGCCATTCATGCAATCACATGGTCTATATCCTAATTAGAACACAGGTAGCATCAAGTAAGCCTGGATGTAATCACAGCAAATCAGGGTAGCTTCTCATATACATGTTGCTCACAATGTAACGATTAGAAATGTGGTGGTAAACGACTCCCGCTAGAATGCTTTGTAATAGAGTTTACGGAAGCTCAAGCAATTAGGTGATGCAATGAACACCGTTATGATATTCTATGGCATACATGTATTTCTGCTCAGTTTTTACCGTACTTTATGTATGCATGTATGAAATAAAGTATTCAAATTGAAACCTCCAAATTTGTCAGTGCATCACTAGCAAACTTTGTAAGTGCTATCAATGGCATCATGAAAGCCTAGATGTTGTTTGGCTATACAAAAGTACAGGGACAAACACATGAATGGGTTAGGGTTAATACTTTAACAACAAAAATGATATTTACAATGCATGTTTCACCATTTGGTTGTGATAAGGGTAAACAGAGCTGAATTATGGTCGAATTATTACCTGTATTTGTAAATTCGGAAATGTTGAGCATCTTGGTGGTTGACCATGATCACAGGCCTCTAGCGCTAGCAGATAGGTTGGATTCGGCGGGAAGTCGGTATTGCTTGTATCCCCGTGTCCACGAGTCTTGAGTGAAGATTCGATTGTCAAGGGGTTAGGAACATTGACGGCATTTCTCGGGATTTGATTTTCCAGATACAGTAGGCCGGTTCGAGGATCCACATTAAATAAAGCTCCTGAGTTGCCTCCTTTTATTGCATATTTGATTAAACCATTTGGTCCCTCGTCCGGATCAGTGGCGTAGAGCTAGTGTCATTCAAGATAAATAACAGATAGGACCTTTCATCTAGAAAATTAGGAATTGTGCCCATATAATCGCGGTGTTATAATACATGCATCCTCTTCCATGAACTTGCTTAGATGCTTCTAAGCAAAAGTTGAAATATTTCCCGTAACAAATTTTGAGCAATGTTTATCATAATCTATGTTAGAACTAGCGTCGTATCCTTCTGGCCCTTTTGTGGTTGTAAGACCGATTGGAAGACACAGATAGTCAAACAACACACAATGAAAGCTGAGCTGTGTCTTCCAGGCCAATGTTTAAAATACATTCAATACTCCAAGGGATGCCGCCGTACTCATCAAGCAATGTAAATCCGAAGCAGTTTAGTTCATTGTACCATCCACTACTTAAAATGACTAGCGTCAAAGTAAATTAGTTAAAGCTGTACCGGAATGATAAACACCAGTCTCTAGGAAATTTTGATTAGGATGGTTAACTTTATCTTGTAATGTTAAATAACAAATGCAACCTAAAATGGTTGAGTGTATATAAGTGAATACATCACTTTATTAATCTACTGTTAACTAGAGTCGATTAGAAACCATCTTGGACTTATAAGGCTCATTATATCGCTGCGCTTCTTAATCGCTCTGCTGATATGTATAAAAACGAATCATCACAAACGTAAAGAAATTCCTTAGTAACAATTGCATTGTGCACCGGAATAACACCTTACCATTAGTTTATTTTTCTACAATGCAAACATTTACAGAGGAGTAATCACCATAAAAGAACGGTATTTGAGTGTGTTTGGCCTTTGTGCAACATGGTATTTCGAGGCGAAATAATTTTTTCCATAAATTTCAAATTTTTTTTGCTAAATATACACATGAGCGTGGATTGATGCATATATCTGCTAATATCTATGCTAACGCTTTCCGTCAAATTTATCCTTAATATTTGTGACAGACAAATTAATTTAAAAGTTTCATTACTTTGATGCGACAAAATGTATTATTGTACCTATTTAACTGGAGGTTTTAGAACTTATTTTTGATCCATCATTCTATTGTGATTCTGCTTACACTAATTGCCTTACTGTTCCTAAAAGGAAGCGCCGCATGATTCAATAGGACAATGTTTATAGGTAAATTAACCAAACGTGGTTTAGAATACTCTGCATTATGGTACTGATCACCTGGTAGGCAAAAGAGATTTTCTATCTGCATGTCAATGTGCTAGAAAATATTACAGTTACTCCTTTTTGTACGGAGTGTCTAAAGTCCTACTACGAGCCATAGTAAAGACAATAAAATTTAGGTGTATATTAATTTGTCTTAGAATTGACGTACTTTATCGTGTGGTACTTTTATGTCTTGGTGATTTTCGTTATGCGGTATCCTAAACATGCATGTGGGGAATATTCCGTGAAAAAGCTGGTCAAGCGCCAAGCATTGTTAATACATTATCGAAAATTGTTAGGACCCACTTGATGCAATGACTGCCCGGGGATCGCTGTGGGATCCAAAATGACCATGTGGTTTGTGGAATTTGGACGAATAAAAACCGGATCATTATCATTCTCATCTCCCACCGTTACGGTTACTAGGACGGAGACTTCGTGAACTCTTCCTGCGAGGATACTGGCTCCATAATTCAAACGTTCTTGCGGGTTTTTATTAGCTATTCTGGACCCAGTTTCTGATATTCCATCTCGTACAGTTACGTGAAAGGTGTATACTGACTGCTTCTCCCGATCAAGCATAAGTCTACAAAATCGAAGCAATAAATAACACTAAGGTCAGACAACGGAAATAATAAACATGGACAGCATAAGTTCATCTTTCAAAAAGCAACTTGCTACAATAACTACAGTGCAGTCGCAAAAGGTTGTACGAGTGCCCACTTTTAAATTAAACGGGTTAGTGGAAACCCAGAAAAACTGAGGACAACGGATCCGTTCCTTCTCATTTAAAGCAAAGTAATAAAAATCGTACATTTTATCTGTAGGATATAATTTAAAATTGTGAACTGCGATTCACAAAAGTGCGATACTTTAACGAAGGCAGCACGAAGAATAGTTGGAAAGTCAAATTCTTGGAATATACTTAGAACCGATCGAGTAGTCATGAGTTCAGTTTGGTTTGGAAACAATCGGTTTGGTATAGTAGTTTTGTAACGTTTCGCCTTTGACACAAAGGCTTTGTCAGACCAGGGGAATCAGTGTGCAATTAATGTAGGATTTAATAGCGTACAGGGGCGATAACCGCGTTACCCGAGCCTTGAACCATGAGTCATTACAGTAACAGTTCGGGATGTCACCTCAGGTGGTTAGATCACAGTGGGAATAGTCCAGGTGTTCCTTTGTGCGTCAAGACATTGACGGATAAGCCCATAGTGTTGACAATGAGAGTCGGTTTGCACTTTCCAATCCGATCCACGCATCGATGCTCGTCAATCTGGTCGGCTTAAGACCGCCCCCCATGCATTAGGGAGTTCTACCCCCTCCATTCTATTCCCGCAGTCGTCAGATTTGGCAGTTTCCACCGCCTCAGCAACCAACCGCTGATGGGTTGATTGTATACCCCTCCTAATGAAAACGTCTTCGAGGTCTATCTGGTGACCCGTGTCTAATGCATGCACATCTACGGCCGAATCTCTTACTTTTGTCTGGTATTCAAACTCGTTTCTTGGTAGTCTTGAAATGCGCCTTCTATGCTCCGAAATTCGTGTGCGTAATTCTCTCGCTGTTTGGCCTATGTACACATGTGCACAGTCCTTACATTTGATTTTATAAACACAGTTTGTCGTCCTATCCTTGGAAGCTGGTCCTTCAGGTGTACCAGACCCGAACGTAAAGTTCGAGCTCGGTGAAAGATCACCTTTATATTTTCCTTGTTTAGTGCCTTCACAAAATTTCGATACTTTAACGAAGGCAGCACGAAGGATAGTTGGAAAGATTTAATGCTGCAGTAAGTAGCAAGAACGCTCCTTTAATGAATATCATTCATGTTATGGACGGTAAAAGTTTCGGAGACGTATTTGTCACTTATCGCTTCTTATAATTTCGGCTTGGATTTTAGGTTGTTACAAAAGGGAGCAAGGAAATAATAGCTCGAATTAATTGCAACGTGTTTTATGAAATAAAACAAAGTATTACTTTTGGTGTTTCGCGATAACACAGGGCCCCTTGGCAGCTTTCAACGCAGTCTACCACAAATACACGTGTTTTACAGTATTTAGTAAATTACGCCGAAAAGGTGGCGTAGCATGCGGGCGAGGTTCAGGGACAGTCGGCCCCTGGCAGCATGTGACAGCAGGCGACATTTTTAGTACCGTCGCTTATTCAAAACCAAATGTGAGGAGCAAAGTACCATTAAAATCAGATGCTTATATAATTTAATATTACTCTGTATGACCAGCAACACATTTGCGCTATGTGAGGCGCCTATTAGAACGTTCTTCCCAGCATTCTGGTGACTTGTCCCATTATGGCCACTTTCATCTCATTTTCTCAGTGTCCAATTTAATCAACCATTTCATCGAAAAATAATGCTTCTTTACCCTGAGCCGGTAGTATGGCCTTAATGCACCAATACTGCCCTCAAACTGGGCGAAACTTTGGCTACTGCTCCAGGTGGCAAATATGGTTGCTGCGCAACTGCAGCAAAAGAAATTAATTTTCTTATAATTCACTTGCATCGAGTACACGCGCTTTGCCAATAAGCAATAATTCCGTTTCGTATACAAATCTATTGTTGTCTCAAATTTGTTGTTAATGCGTTATATACAATCAAAACAAGAAATAAAATATACGTAATATAACTCATTTTCCTATGTGTTTGATCGTGAAATAATTGCTCCAAATCTAGCTAACGATTTTGCTTGAGTAAACATATAACAGAATCTTGCATTCTAAAACTTCTACCCCGTCATCTGAAGATACGCTACAGAATTATCATCCTGAGGTATCAATTATATCCAGTAAAACTGCGAACACATATGTTGTGATACATCAACATTTCGATTCTTCTCAGTCGCAAACAAAATACAAGCGGACTACATAGACAGTTATATGCAACGAAAAATGGGCACACCAATCAAAATGTCAACATAAAGACCATGGTAAAAAATTCATTGTCTCAATAATTTCCGTAAAAGTAACACAGCTTGATAAGCTCTAATTAGCAAAGCCACACTAATTGCCAAAATTATCGGATACTTGTTAAGTAATAACACCCTGAACGCGATCGCCAGGTTCACATGATCTCAAGTTCCCAAGAGTTGCTTAATGATAAATGACGTTCAGCTCCGCTTCATCCTCGGATCCGCTCCGTTTTGTTGCGTCATCTGTTGTTCCAACCACCTCGGCACATGTTCAGTTATGCACTGGGATAAATGACTATAAGTCCTGACTATGCAAATGCCACCACAACCGCAAGTGCACTGGTAAAGGACTTGAGAGGTCGAACTGACTGATGAGTTCAATACCTTGGAATAAACTTCTTAAGGACTGGAATATCATAATTTCCAAAGTTTCATAACAGAAATCAGTTTTCTATGGGCTTGTATTGTGACAACGTTCGCCCTTGAGATAAGAGCTTCTTCAGGTTAGGTAAACTAGTGCAGAGTTTGCTTAGCAATTATAATAATGATCGCGTGAGATTACCCGGGTCTGTGGAAAAAATCTGGTTACAGTTTCAAACAATTCAAAATGTCAATCTGGTGAAACCCTGAGCATGGAGCTATTCCAATTGATCCGTGTACTAGGTCGTGGGAGGCAGTGAGGATGTTGCTATTGGCCTTATTGATGATAGTTTGACGTTTCCGCTAAAACCTGATTACGTCCGCCAAAGCTGCTCAGACTGGCCGAGTTAAAACAACCAGCCACGCCTTCGATAGTTCCACGCCGTCTAATCTGTTTACACAAATAGTGGCCTTGGCGACTTCAAGCGCTTCAACAATTAAACTTCGGCGTGTCGTTCTTGCTCCCCTCCTGATGGTCTCTACATTTTCTCAGCCGATTGCATGTCCCGAATCTAACGCCTGTACCACTGCCGCCAAACGTTGTAATTAGGCCTTATTTGGCCTAATTACACTTGCGCACAATCCCTTCAACTAATTTTATAGACGCAATCGGTCGTCCTATCTTTCGAAGTGTATTCTTTAAAAACACCTGGGCTGAGCTGAGCGTTTGACCTATTTGAGAAACCACGTTTATCCTCTCCTATACTACCCGCTTGATCACTTCCGAGGTTCCGTCTTTATAAGGGATTCCCACTGTCCCAATTTACTCCGTCGTACGTTGTGAAGGTGGGTTTTGTACACTCTACAATTGAGGTTTAACTAACCTCATCGGAAATCCACTACTTATTGATTCGCTAATTGCCAGTTTCCGTGCGGCTTTCATGTCCTCTTCCTCCGTGCAAAGAGTTTGGGCCTTATTAAACAAAGAACATGTAATCGGAACATACACTTGTTTCGGATGACCTGAACTATAGTAAAATAATCCATCTGTATCTGCTTGTTTTCGATAGAGGGTTGTTTCTGGCCGTCCTCCGTTCCTGTGAATTAAAAAATCAAGGAATGGCAGTGTATTCTTGTAAGATTCTAGTTCCGTTGTGTAAATTATGTACTTAGTAATGGAGTTCAGATAGTTTATTAACTTCTCTTTCGAGTACAACTTAGTGGTAACAAATGTAATCATCTGCATAGTGCCACCAAATCTTCGGCGAGTTACTGGAGTTTGTCAACGCCCTTTTTGCAAAATCTTCCCTATATAGATTGACCAATATTAGCGATTCCATGGGAAGGCCCTTTTCTTGAGCACAAAGCCTCTACTGGAAAGTGAGATATGATATACTAAGGCATATTTTCATTCCTTCTATTATCTGGTCTATTGTGAGTTTCGTTTTTTCCCCCAGACTAATGTGCAAGGTCAGATTGCGTTGTGCTACTCCAAATGCGTCACGCTTTGGCACATTCGTAAATAATAAACTAACGGCAAAGCTAACCGTTATTTCATCTGACGCAATAGGCAAACCTGCCACATTTTGTGCGAAATCATAAGTGATCTTTAAGAACCTATCTGTTTTCCCTCAATGCTTAAACAAACCTGCCAGATATCTTGTTAATGCGTGAGTAGCAGAACGGATTCCATCCACAATAGGCCGAATGGGAATGTTAGAAGTATGTATCTTCGGTAGCCCGTAGATCTTTGGCGGCAGGGTTGGTTTCGGATATAAATTACCCCACTTACACATGAACCCGGACAATCTAACGCGAGCAATATTCTAATTGTTATAATATTCCAAACCAAATCTATACCAGTTCACGTGACCTGAAGAAGCTCGTGTGTCAAGGGCGAAACGTTGTCCTAATACAAACGTCTAGAAAAACCAAGACCTATTTTGAAACTTTGGAAATTATGACTGATGACTTGCACTGATTGTCATGATTAGCAATGCTTCGCGTAGTATGTACGGTTTGCAACTGGGTGGTCGCATGGACGCGGCGGAGGGCCGACCGCAGTTTTTGTCCGATAACTTTCGCTATATGATCTCCTTCGAACGAAAGTACAAATATACATTCTTTTTCTCTGAAATTAACACCGGTATTTTTTCTTTTGGTGGCATACTGTCCATCTGCATGAACATCTCAGGATACCAAGTTGACACCAAGGTTTTGTACACATATTCTTTAGCTCGCAACATTTCGGGCCTGTATGTACTTCCGGCTCTGTAGAAGAGCACTTTCAATAGACCACGTT